ATTATATGTTAAATCGTGAGCGCAGAATTTAATTTTCCCTAAATATTAATATTTTGTTATTCGCGTAATATGATTTAATATATAAGAAAGCTTTAATAAGAAAGATTAATTAAAATCAACATTTTTAAAATTTGTTTTATTGAATAAATTTAAGAATATTTTTTATCTTCTACTTCTTTTTTTTTATTTTTATTAATATATACATATATATACGCGTACGAAATATCGAAGGAAAAGAGAAACACGAAGGCGACGTTAAAAAATCGAAGTGTCGGCTTGTTAACAAGATCTTGATTGAATAAAACGAACGTTAGATCAATCCTTTTGCCCCTATGCAGATTTATACGCCAAACACTTTTATTATAGTAAATCGTCGATAATCCGCAATACACTTTTACAATTGACAACAAGCTAACTGAAGTTATTAATATTTTATTATTATTATTATTATTATCGTATTATCATTTTTTATTAAATGAAAACACGCAGATATATCAACACACATTTTGATCTCGATTATTTTTATGTGAATTTAATATGACCTATAATGAATCATCGCTTATTATAGTTAAACGCGAAGATTTTCTTAGAATTTCAAAATAAAAATGTTGTTTTAAGAAGCCATCGTATAGATTAAAATATAAGATAAAAACGATCATACTTGTAATACAAAACAAAAGTGAGAAAGGTAAAAAGAGAAAGAGAGAGAGAGAGAGAGAGAGAGAGATAAATTCTACTCACAGCTAATTCGTTTGTTGGAAACTGGAGATGTATGATGAACCACGGCACTCGGTATTGGAAGTGTTTCCGTATCATCTGGTGGATAATCATCTACTCGATGATCTCTTACCTTTGCTTCCAGCATTGCTTGAATTGTAAGCTGCTCTTCTGTAAGTTCCCTTTCTTGTTCCATCAACTGTTTTAGCCTATTTATCAAAATCTGTAAATAAAAAACAAAACAAAAAAAAACGAACGATAACAACATTTTATTATTATATTTGAAGATAAGATAAATCTTAAAAATATATAAATAAAATGTATAATACATATATATATTGATAATACACTTATAATACATATTTGGAATAAGATATTTTTTAATATTAATATAAATATATAGATTCTATATATGCTATTTTATAATATATTAATTTTAGTTTAATATATTAATCTAACTTACAAGCTTCTCAGTTTCATCGGCAAAATTTTCGCTATTGTAAATCATGTCTGCTGGTAAAGGCTGGGATTCAACGAGAATAAAAATGTTGTTGCAAACCAGCAAGAACATAACGAGACATAAGCTCGTCATTCCCTCGAGAACTCTTTGTTCCTGTAAATGAAGAAAACAAGAATTCATTTAAAAAGAATTTAAAATGAAGTGAAATTGACGAATAACTTCTTTATTTTCTATTTTTTTTTCTTTTCAACATTGTAAAAGAATTTACTATAATGTTAACATATATTTCCTCAATCGTTCGTTCGTTCGTTTTTTCAATGAGAAAAATTCGAAATATTTCGAAATGTTTTAAAAACATTTTGAGATTCATGAGTGAATCAGTCACGAAGATTTAGCGTCTGTCTATGTGTACATTTTTTTTCGTTTTGTTGAATGAATATCTATGGTATCCATGTGTGCGCATGTTTATTTGCGTATGCGTATATGAAAGAAAGGTTTGAATAAAATCTTGCGAAGTGTTATACTCGAAGAAACATGTGGGTGGTTACTTTCAAGGGTTTTAGATAAAACAAGAAATAGATGAACGTCTATTATTTATCTTGTCACGAAACTTAATCTTATTATTATCAATCGAAATATCACCACTTTTATCAGATTTCTTTTTATTCTAATTTTTTTTTCTATTATTTTTTGTATTGCAGTTTCTATTCTACAATTGGATATATTTTACTGTTGTATCTTGATTGAGATATAATTGATCGCTTCTGTTTAAGAAAGAATCACTATTAGTGATCAATTTATATGCAAAAAAATAAGTTAAAAGGAAGAATAAATAGTAATTCAGATTTTAAGAACACCCTAGATGTGCAAGCGATGCAACAAGTGAGAGTATAACGAAAAGCTTTCTTTAAAGCTGTATAAATTAGATCGAATTATTCTATCATATTTTACTTCTGTTATATTGATTTTTATTTGTTATTTAACATTTTGAAGCACGAAATTAAAAACAAAAAAAATAATGTCAAATTTAAAACGATAGGTTTATGTTAATCGTTAAGAAATTTATATTGCATAAAAAAAATCAATAAATAAAGAAAAAGAAAATAATAAAAAGATATTCGAGTATTTAATTATATAGGGGGTGAGGGGGGAACATAAATGGTTTCTCCACGTCGTTGTAAATTATAATTTTTCGTGATTATATATATATATAAAAAAAGAAAATATCCTATTATTTAAGAAAAATCAATAACGTTTCAGTGAATTAAATAATTAAAAATATCTAATAATAAGAAAATAATACAACGACAATTCGAATAGAATGGTCAAAATTATTCCGAGTATTATTCATTTAAGAATTTCATTAATTATATGATAATAATATGAATACTATTGCATTTGTACGTATGTATAACACACGTCAAACATTTGGAATTTGTCTTTGTTGTATCACTAATATCTTGAAATTATTCTACAAAGCATAACTCATTCCGTGCTTGCTTTCATTTGGTTGGTACATGTTAAGCTCCTCTCTCTTTCTCTCTAATTATATTTGTCAAATAATATCTGAAGAAAATGCATAGTTACACATTGACAAACACACACACGCACACATATATATATATATTGTAAATTAACGTGTAAAAGGAATTTACCTTTTCTAAATATTAATTACTTATCACTTGAACTTTGACATGTTTCTTCGTTTCGACCCCATCTCATTTACTTACTTAGCCTTACAAAAAATCGGATAATTTCTTACGTGTCATGATTTCGTTATTATCATTCTATGGAAATTTAAGAAAGCGAACACATAGACACACGTATATATATATTTATATATATTTATGTGTATATAGGAAACATCACGATAGTTTTATCGAGTTCGGTGGATTATTCTCGATGACCCCGCCAAGTGAATTGATTTGATTTACACTTTTTTTTACAGGTTTATTGTACTCTGAAACTTGATAAAGTTATGTCAGAGAGTAAGCGAGAAAGAAGATTTTTTTTTTTTTTTTCAAGCGAAACAATTTCAACGTTATACTCTTTAAGTCTAATTATTTTTAATTATGCAACATATTTTTGAATATATAT